GAGCCCAAGTGTCAATGGACCCAGGAGGCAAAGTGGTAAACCATGTGAAGGCATTTTTTGTCAAGGAACTTGGGAAGTATTTGATCCTGAGATCTTCATTATTGGCTATATCTCCCGCTTCGGTTAGATATCTCGCTATGTGTTCGACTGTTGACTCATTGGTATCCCCAGCGAACTTTGTAAATTTAGGGACTTTATATCCCCTTGGTAAATCAATATGCATTATGCAATCCAATATAGGAGAAGCGTAATTTGGCCTCCTCATTCCTGTGTTGAGGCCATTCTGGGCCATGACTCTCTCTATCATGGTGGTTAGGTTGTTTTCTGCCAAGATGTTATCGTTTCGAATTCTATGAATGACGGCATCGGCATCTTGATTTCGACCAACCAAAACCACTCCCCTAGGTTGTTCTTCTCAAAACTCTGGGGCTTCTAGCCTTTCGACCCTTGCCCCTGGTTCCATAACTTCCCTTTGTGGGCCCGGGATTATTGGGGCTTCTAACCTTGGTGCCCTGGCCCCTAAGTTAACTTCGTCTCTGGGTGGTCTATAAATTGGGTCGTTAGCAATTTGTTCTATAACAGGCATGTTTGTTCGAAATCCCGCCTGATTCTGCCTACGCCTTTCTGGGGGAGCAAAGAAATCTGCTATTCGACTCATATTGTCAGCGTTTGCCCTGTTTGTCACAGTCACATTTTGCACTATTGGGGCAAATATCTCCTGCATGGTGTGTGCTAACACCCCTATCATATTATGGTTACTGTCATCCATCAATTGCCTAAAAGCCAATTGGTTGTCTGTGGTTAGGATAGGCATTGTGCTATAACCCACCGACCCTTGGTTATTTGTCATAAACTGATTCGCCCCAGACCCAGACCCTAGTTGTGGAGATGAATTCGATGTGGAATTGTGTAAACCTACCATAAAGGATGTTGGCATTCCATAGGAGGAATTTCTGGTTCTATTCCCATCGAAACCGGGTGGTCTAGTTAATGGAGTGGCGAAATGGGATTGTGTCCCTGATGGTGGAACGAATCCCCCAGGGTAGCCAATGGTTCCAGTATTTCCTAAGACCGAACTATTAGTTGATATGCCACTTACTCCATTGGTGGCTATGTTACTGGTCGAAGATGCAACAGACTGTGCATTCGAAGGGATTACATTAGATGTTCCGATCGAAGTGGACGCGTTAGTGCCTGTTGCATGTGGGCCATTTTGGTCCCCTTGTTGATTGTCTGAATTAGACATTTTGTCCAAACGTTTTCTTCTGGATAAAGGTTGGTTGCTGTTGGTTATCTTACCACTTCTCAGGTTCATAAAACAGCAAACTTCTTAGGTTCCAACGTTTTTGTAATGGTTATGTCTCAACAATCCTTATTTCTAATACCCAATCCTTATGGTCCCATCAGGTGTGCCAATTTGTTTCCAGTGATTTTTGATAAACAACCGCTAGTCTTCCAAACTATCGAATAATCTTTCTGACTGTTATTCAATTCCTCTGGTAACTCACAGGATCGACTAGATTGATCCTAGGACTCCTTGGATATTAAGGTTACTCTCACGATCGAACAGATATTCATGGTTGATATTGTATATGTGTTTGGCTTATTTCGATTTCTCTCTCTCTAAAGTCTAAAGATATAATCAAAATGTGTGTGAAAACTAAATTACATGAATAAATGCTAATTGTAAAGACATGTAAAACTGCATAAAAGTGAAGTAAATGGTTTCGACTTACAAAACAGTTAATATAAAGGATTTCTGGAACGTAAAAGGTTTGACATATGAAGAAAGCGTTTAATGCAAGAAATCTTTAAATGACTTTAAGTAAAAATATGCGTTCGAAGGATAAGACTTGAAGGTAAAGGTATGGAAAATATGACAGTTTTCTGAGATATGAAGTGCTTGAAATATGAAGAAAACATTAAAATGTGAAACTTTGAAGAAGAGATTTCGAAGTGAAAAGACTGTAAATAAGAAAACTTGTAAAGGTTATTTGACAAAAAGGATAAAGGAAAGTACTGGAAATGGTAAAAGGTTTTCATTAAATCAGAAATACATGGTGCTATCATACATACATTTCTCTTGCATTCGTTTCCCTTGCCATGTGGTAGTTTGAATGTTACTGAGTATTTTGTATAATAGATATGACACACGAAATCCTAATACTAAGACTTCTATTTATACTAATTCGACCATAACGGTCTTGCTATAGGATTATGCCACGTTTAGAACATGCAGGACAATGCCTCTTTCATCTTTCCACGTGTCCCCAAATGCTCCAACACATAACTTTCAAACTTCGAAAGTCCCGCTTCCATTTGAATTTCAAATGCTTTGGTGCTTCTCCGTTTCGAACGCTCTTCCCAGACACAGTCTTGTTGTTATTTCGAGACTTCTTTAGATATGTTCCCATAATTGCCACTCGAAGCTCCAAGCTTTGACACACTTATTCGAAACACTGCTTCTGCTACTTCGAAACATGACGCTTTACCTCATTTCGATCAAAACGTTTAATTCATTTAGCTTCTAATAACATTATCAAAATCTTCAGCCAACACCTACGTATCCCTTTTAAGGAATCAGAGCAGTCGTAGTTCGGCTTACATGTTTTTGTTTGTTTGTATTTTTTTTACTGAACAATATTAATTTCGCCTTCTGCCGCAACTCGACCTTTGGAGACTTACGCGTCAGCACAGAAGTGAATTAACATGCTCTCTTGAAAAGTTTGGAAAGAAATGTGCCTGGACGCACAAAAGTTTGAATTTGTTTGTTTTTGTAATGAATGATATTAATTTCGCCTTCTGCCGCAACTCGACCTTTGGAGACTTACGTGTCAGCACAGAAGTGCATTAACATGTTCTTTTGAAAAAGGTTTGAAAGGAAGGCCCAGAGGCAAAAAGAGTTTGTATTTGTCGGTGTTTTTGCTTGTAGGTAACAGCTAGTTGACTTCAAAAGAGAGATTTTAGCCATTTCTCTACTTATTCATGAAATGAGTCTTTGAGACTTGAACCATACCAAAGCTTAGAATAAGAGAATAATAAGGTCGAGAAGAAACCAGCTTATCATCTCTCAAACTTAGCCAAGACATGGTTCTTGTCAGTAAATTTCTTTTTATGTATTTTTTGAAGTTTGTAAAAAAAGAAATTTTTGTTATTATAAATGCATATGCGAAAAGGGAAAGAAAAGTTACAGGGAGACTAGCCTAAACCTGATTCTATCACACTTCATATGATCTATGGGAAAAGATAAATGCGAGGTAAAAATAGAAAGAAAATATACCAAACGAATACTAGCCCGTAGAGCAAAGCAGAAAAAGCAAAGATACTTGACGATCTCGTGAGCTGTTACCATCAACAAAGAAAAGAGTCAGAAATCCCATATTCGGAATGATTATTGAATCATCTTTAATGTGAAAATAAATCACAATCGGCATCTCGAGCGTATCCATATAAAAAACCTGCATAAGACTCGAATCTTGACGAGCAAAAGTGAATTACCAGTCTCGAGTAATCGAATAATCATGAATTAATTCTTAAAGGCAAAATAATAATAAGTTCTCCTCTTTTTTTTTATTTAACCATTTGAAATAACCATTAAATAAATGAATAATAATAAAAGGTGAAAAAAAAAAGATTCCAAAACGACTGCGTTTACTGTAAACGGCCCCCTCTAGCTCCTTTACGCAGAAAGCCTTTCTTCTACATTCGAAAACAACAATGGCGATGCCTCCATGACTCCATCCCTTCTCCCCTGTTCTGATTCAACTTTCTTGTTAACACCACCTAAAGTCTCCCTCTGAATTCGACTCCTTTGCTTGCTTTCGTCAATTTCTCTTCCTCTATCCTGAATCTAACAATGAAACTTAAGCTCTACATTTCTTTCGATCAAGATTACATGGTGGATTTATTGTTCGCCGCATTTTACCCTTCGCGGTTATGGTACAGACCAAGCAAAAAAGTCATAAAAAGAAGAAGATTGAGGGTTACCTATTGAAGACACGTTGGTAGCGCTTCAAAAATCCAGAGATGAAGTAATACAATTATTGTCCTTCTTGATCTTGTCTGCTTCGTCTTGATCTTTTCATCACTGCCTTCACTTTTCTTTGGTCTGGGGGTTGCGTGCGTTGGCGATAGGAGAAGAGCGGAAATGATGACAATTATGAAGATTATCGCAAGTTGAGAAAAATGAACTTTGTATGATGAATCAGAGAGAAGTGAAGCTTTGAGAACAGACTGAAGGTCGAACAATGGAGAGTGGAGGTGAAAACGGAGTTTAGAGAGGGGAAATTGAAGATTATGAGATTATGAGAGTTGAGAGTGAATGATGGAGAGGGAAGAAGTTGTTTTGAAGCTGATACAATGATGAAGTTTTGAAACTGGAAAAGAGAGAGTAACTTCGTTCCTTTAAACTTGGATGGAGTTTGGATTATATAGGTAGTTGAGGGAGATGGAAATGGTTAAGTGAGAATCAGTCCGAACCATTGATTTGGGTAGAGTTTGTTAGGGATTGAAGGGTGATATTGAGAGTTTGTTACAAGGTGGTTGTGCTAGTTGGGAATTCTGTTTGGAGGTAGTTAGAGAGTTTGTTACTCTGTTTGACAGTGAATCTGATATACAAATATCTCCCCGACATAGTGGACATACCCTGTGAATCTCCTTCAGTCACTTGTCTATACATGTTATATGAAATTCATGATGGCAAGGAAGTACCTGCATACTGTCTCCATCTTCATACTCCGCAAGACATATATAGCATTGTACAGGTTCTTCTTGATGTTTGTGTGACTTTGTGTATATTTTAACAGGTAAGGATTCAGCAACTTCAGCAGGCGAGGGAACAGATCCGATAGAAGATACAGAAAGGTGGGAAGATAAAACCACTGATTGCTGGTGAATTTCATCCAGAACCTCGAATAAGGCTTCAGCTAACATCACTATTCTTGATATGCTAGCTCTAGCATTTGTATCATCGTTCGAATTTGAATTATTCTCACGGCTACTTATTCTGCATTCTTTTCAGGTTTAGAACCCCATCCCATATCCCAATGTCTGAAAATTGCCCAAGTTTCTCCCTTCATGGGATATACCAGATAAGAACCTCTAGCACTCCCTTTTACGCAATGCACCATGTGAGAGAACATATCAGTACCTCTAGTTATTTGAGAATTTCCAAGTATGTACTTACTGCACGCAATAGGCAAATCTGCTTCATGCCATTTCCATCAACTGAATCTGCTGATGCTGACTGCCTTGCTCTCTTACTTCCAACATTTGTTTGTGTTCGTGATGGCTTGGCCTTAGATGTAGCATGGTTGGAAGTTCCAGCAGCAGCCTTTGTCACACCAGCAGTACCATGGCCATCTTTACTCTTTTGAACTTTACAAGAGGCCCCCTCTCCGGCCCCAGGTTTTGTCATATATACAGGACGAAGGGGCACAAATATGTCCTCTGGTCCTTTACCATGAAGTTTTCCACCATTACTTTGTGATGCTTCTTTTGGTGGCACGTGGTTTGGAGTATCTTTATGTCTGTAAAATGATGATGTTTGTCCTGATGGTGCAACCGGCGACCCTATATCGCGAGCTTTGAAAAGTTTAAGACATTTTCGATAATGCAAGGTGGCATTTATAATGTTTTTGTAGTATTCATACTTAGTATTACAATGTTGGCATGATGTCCAAAATGTCTCATGTTTATTCAATTTCGAATTTTGAGTATGAAACTGTGAATGAAAACTATTATGGTGATAGGATGGAGCCTGAGGTGCTTTAATTCCAGCAAGGCGGCTAATCTTCATGTGATATAAAGAATGCTTTGCTGGGTCACTCAATGTTCTGTTAGCTTCCACAATCAACTTGAAAGCGGCCTCTGCCCCAGCAGATTTATTTTTATCAGGATGAAGTAGCGGTGCAAGTTTTCTATATTGTTTCTTTATCGTTGCTTCTTCAGAAAATTTATCAGTTAGAAGAATTCCATACCAGTCCATATCAGATGTAGAGAGTTTGTTCTGAGAAGCACAGTGAACCTCACAAATAGTAATGATCTGAGTAATGTTCTAGGTATCAGGAAACAGTCGCCGAGCTTTCATAGAAAACTTCAGTGCCACTGCAAAGTCACCAGTCTGCAATCTATTCTCAGCAATTTCTTTGGCTCTCAGAGCTTCATCCTTGTTGCACTCCATGTGTAAGATGAAATCAAAACTCAATTAATCTAGTTTCCCTCAATCATACAACACACAGACAGGAAACTTCTGCCTTTCAGATACAGTGCAACAGTTCCATCTGCAATGCGGCTGCGTATATCGTATCTCCTTCACCTGCGAAAATTTTGGTCAAAATACTTCTCTCATGATTATCATCGGCACTCTTATCAAAAAGAAGCCTTCGAGCAAGATTTTTCCTGTAGAACTCAGCAAACAAGTCTTTGTCACTAATATAGGCGAGCAGCTTTACCACCTTTTCAAGAGTTTCTTCAATTGTTTCATCACTCAATTTTTCACTTCCTCCTTTCTTGAGAATGTTATCACAAAAAGTGGCAAGAAGTTCTGCACTAGAGTTTCCAGCAACACCTTTGTTGCAAAAGACCTTAAAAGCCTCTTTAAGAGCCTTGTGGAAAAGAGTGTGATTCTGGAAACATGAGTTCACATATGCCAAGTACTTGTCATGAAACTCAATCACCTTCCGAACAAAAACCTTGTCCTGCGTACTAACAATATCTTTTTTATCTGCCTTTTTGTTACTAGCTGCATCTTCGGCATGCTTCACCAATGCCATGCCTTCAGTGGTAACATGTTGCTTTGTTGTTATCTCCAAATGTTGGAGACTGATCACGTTTTTTTTTAGCCTTTAGGAAGTGTCTCAAGTTCTGTACACCCACTAAGTATCAACATTTCTAACCTCAGGAAGTTGCAAATAGAATCTGGAAGTCTCTTAATCTTTTTACTATTCTCAAGACTGAGATATTTTAAAAGCACCAACTTCCCAATGGCCGGCAAGGTCTCATATGCAGAATAGCTTAAATCAAAAAAAACCCGCAGGTGTTTACATGCTGACATGCATCTATTCAAGAAAGTTGTACTGTTTGATCCAACTCCAACAATAGGAAATAATATGCTCTTCGTAAAGACTAATTGTGAAAATGGAATTTCATCAAGCCCTGTGTTTTCAGTCAAAGACAGATGGCGGACATAAGAAGTTCCCCTAAAGTCCACACTTGCAACATACATAGCTAGATCATGCACCGAATCATGCATTTTGAAAGTGAAACCAATGCCATAATCGACAAAATCTTGAAGAAAAGATATTGACAGCAGTTCAAACAAATATTGGTTGGCACTATATTTCAATGTTTGATTTTGATTTCTGTTTGGGGCTGGAAGAAAACCAAGGGCTCTTCATAGTGATGTTACATGAAAACTATTAAATGCATGACACTTTGGGTAAATGGAGAACAAAGCAAAGCATTTCTTCACATCCTATAACATTTCTTCCAATATTTACCAAATGTGGATACCTCCTTGCTTCTCCTTCTTTAAAGGCCCATTTGAAAAGTATGGAAAATGAACCTTCAAGAGAAAGGATTTCTAAATTGTGCGAGGAAACGGTTCCCGTCATGGGAGCAATCGAGTGGCTATGCGTAGTAAATAAGATTTTACCTCCTAGAGCACCCACTTGTATTAGGTGCGCAGTGACGACTTGAGACATGGATAGAATAATGTTCAAAATGTCTTCGAAATGAAACAAAGCATGATCTTCCAATAGACCTCGTAACTTGATAAAGAAGAAATCCACGACAACCATCAATCAAATACCCTAAATTCACAATTCAATGCACCAGAAGAATCAGTCTTGTTTGATAAACACTCCGAACCAAAAGAAAACCCGAGCTTCACAACCAATGATTCTCTGAACCATGATTCGACAAAACCCGAATTGGTTAATTGAAGAGTGGATGAATGCCATGTCAAAGTCATTAAGCATGTTGTTTATCAGAAGATAATAGCCTTGCTGCTTGAGGGAAAGGAAGTCCAAAAAATGAGAATGAACCAAAACCCAAATTCCCCAACTTGCTGACACCAGGAAGACCCTGAATAATCAGGCTCATTCCACACATACACCTTAAATCAGTTGTAAACCTTAGCTCCTTAACTGCTGGTCTTTTGAACCTCAGGCGATCTATTTTATGAAAAATGCGTGCTATGCAAATGACCCATTGGAATGATGCAGATGAATGCAAAAAGTCTAAGCCAAATAAAAGAGATTAGGAGGGCAAATTTTGGGGTGCAACAATGTTGTTTTTGGTTCTTCATGAAAATACATTCTTTAAGACGCATCTTTCATGTTCTTTTAATCACAATTGTTCAATTAATATATAAATGTTTAATCTTGTTAAATATTTTAAATGAAATATAAATTTAAAAAAAAAAAGTAAAGTAACCTAAATTGTTGTTTTACGAAACACAGTATTAATAATTTATAAATAAATATTCTATTTAATTATAATTCCGATCTCTATATTTTATCCAATTCAAATAATTTATTTATTTATTTTAAATTTAAATAATTTTATGTATCTCTTTATTTTTACACTTAAAATTTTTATGTATCAATTTTTAGATGACATATATTTGTAAAATATAATAAATTATTAGATAATCTTTTTTGTAAAACTTTATAAATAAAATTTAAAAATAAATAATAAATATCTCATCAAGTTTAAATGTAAAAAGGTGAGAAATAACTAAATGTTACATTTGTAATAAAAAATGATTCAGTAAAAATCAATTAAAATATAAAGATCAAATTTATAATTAAATCTAAATATTTTAAATACGAGATCAAAATGCCACAAACAAAATAATCTAAAAATTTATAATTTCTTCTTTTATCAAATAGTTATCCTTAGGTTTTTTTGTGTGCTCTGACAATTTTCGACGGCGATTTCCGGCAAGATTTGAAGAGCGAACGGTTCATGGTAGCAAATTTAACGATGGAAACGTCTATCAAGATGGTCTAAACTCCTAATCTTAGGATTAGGGAACACTTGGTAGATTGATTCATTGTTACAGTTTATGAACTCTGCGCGTTGCGATGGGTCGAGGCAGACCATCGAAGAAGGCAGTCAAGACCCCCCCCCCCCCCCACGAGAATAAGAGTGTTTTTGCCATCTACGAGCACTCACGCGATAGAAGGTAGTCGAAAAGGGAATAAACTAACCTTATAAGTCATCATGGAAGAGGAAATGAAAGAGGAAGAGAAAAAATTGAAAGCAATGAAGCAGCCACAGAGAAACAAGGACCACCACAACTGTGGAGGATGTGATTTAAGGAAAGCGATCAAATGGAAGAGAAATTAAATACACCCTATTGTACCCCAAAATTTTCCCTCCCATTTCCTCAACATTTTCTCATCACAAGATCCTTGGAGCTCAAGATCCAGCTAGGGTTTTCTCAGCTCAAGACTTCTCCTTGCACTGCTGGCCCAAATTAGGGTTTGAGTTTGCACAAAGATGTTTTGACTTAAAATACCCAAAGTGACTTTCATGCTTCATATTGGACCCCCAAGTTTATCCATACCAAGTTTCAAGCCTTGATTCCAAACTTTGCCCAGTCAATTGGACAGTTGACCTAGAAATCAGCTGTATTGGGGAAAAAGTCAATTGTGGTCAATTGGCAGTCAAACCTCATGATTCTTAACCCACATCAACATTTTGAACTCATATGAACCATTTGGTCAAGTTTGGATCACAATTCCACAAGAAATTTGATCAGATCACCAAAAGGGCAAAATGGTCATTTTTAGGGTTTTGACTGCACAAAGGCAATTTTTGACTGTTTGAACTAGCCAATGGCAAACCAAGCTCACATATGGACTCAAGGACCCAATGAAATTTCCTTGATATGTTCAACAAATTCAAAAGATCCCAAATGCACAAGCTTGACAGATGAATTTTCCAGTCAATTGATCAATTTTTGACTGTATACTGAAAAGTCAAACTTTAACTTTTTGGTCAAAATCAAGGGTCAAGATTCATTTTTCACCAAAACATGTCAAAACATGAGACTTGTTCATCAAGAAATCAAAAATCACAAATTAGGGTTTGAAATGAAGAATTTTCATAACTTAGAATTTTTCTAAGTTATGAAAATCCCTAATTTTTTTCTAACTTTGTCCCATTTTTTCACCAAGATGCATTTGGATTCAAACAAAAGTCAAAACATGAAAGTTGTAGTCCATTGCAAAATATACAACTTTTATTCACAAAGTCTCCTCAAAAGAAGCTTGTAGCTCAAGTTATGATTTTTGTAACAAGGGTGCAAAACATTCTTAACTTAGAAAATTTTTGACCTATTCTAGGCAGGATTTTTGCCTAACTTCATGACAACTTTTCACATGCTTCCACTTGGAATTTCAACTTGCATTACAAAGATGGATTGTAGTACACATTCCAAGATTTCCAAAATGTCCAAGAACTCATCAAACAACCTTGTGGTTAGAGAGAATCGAATTTGGCAATATAGGAAAAACTCACTTTGCTCATGGCCAATTTTCATGTTCATACACTTAGGCATTTTTGAACTCAGCTTGCATTCCTAGATTACAGGCCTCAAATCTCATTTACACTCATAAATTAAATGCTAATCCATTGTGCCAAGACATTATTTTGCTCATTTGGTCATTACATGGAAGTTTAAGCCATAATAAGAAAAAGCATTATATCCATTTTTGAAAAGTGAAACTTTATGTCAATTTGCAAATCAAGAGGTACAAAGCAAATCTCTTTGGCACAAGTTATTGAGCTAATCCCACTGATCAAGGGCAAGCTTAGCAGCATATTAGAGGGGCCTTCATCAGTCTAGAAAAGAGATTGGCATTTTGTTGCTTAAAGGTGAATAAACTTGGCATAATAGATACCAACTCACATTGCTGCAAGAACCAACCAAGACAAACTTTCTCCACACTTTCCATGCTCCCTAACAGACCTAAAACACGAGCCTTTAACCCTTGATCCCTCCTCATACAGAAAATCACCACAAAACTGCACAAAACAGGGCATTCTGCATTTGGACTTGGCCAACTCATTTCCATCGTGCACTTTCATCCAAACCACTTCATACACCTTCCATAACATCCATATAGACTATTCCAAACATTGAACTGAGACTGTAACAGCCATAGCATCATTTGCCATTTTCATTTTTCTCTCTTGCAGGTTGACTTCTGTAGCTCGATTTAGCAAGATTCAAAGCAAACTAAAGGTTGGAATAGCATCCCTGGACCTCAAGCAAGTTGTACCAATCCTTACCTTGCACTAAAAGCACCTCCATTGCCAGATACGATTCAAGATGAACAGGTAAGTTCATGAACTCCTATCTCTCTACCCAGGCACATTTAGGTTTAGGTTTGTGAAGAAATTATGTTATATTCATGGCCTTGAATCTGCCCATATCATTACTTTTCGTTTATGTTATGTGTACTTAGAGAATTTTGAGTCTGAACATTGAACAAAAACTAGGTCAGGAATTGGGGGAGAAGAAATTCTCTCTCATTTCTGAGAGTTAGATTGACTTATTTATATGTTTAGAATCGTAGCTTCAAGCTCTACAGGTTTCATGTTGCAAGATTTGGCAAATGATCAAAGAATCAGGAGTTAGAGAAATGGGCAAAAGGGCGCGCGTTTTTGAACGTTTTGTTGTCTGGAGGTTGAAGACAACCTCTATGGGTTGGGCCTGACCTTTTTTTTTCCTTTTCACACCATGTTTTTACATTTGAACCCCCCTGGCCCATTTTGATTTTTACTTATCATTTTCCATTTTTTCCTTTTGATTTTATTTCCATATTTTTATTTAAGTATGAAAAAATATTAAAATCATTTTTTCCACATTTTTTTGCATTTATTTTGATATTTATTAGGCTTTATTTAGTTTTGTACATAAATAAATACTTATATACTATTATTTAAAATAACTAAAAATAATACAAACATATTTTATTTCTGACTTTTATTTCATGTTATCTCTTGAAAACATTTTATAATAAAAATATACTTTTTTTAATAATATTAAATATTTTATTTTGTACATATAATATATATTTAATAAATAATGTAAATACATATATGTTTATTAATATATTTAGGAAAATACAAAGAATTAATACATTTTATTTTTATTAATGTTTTGACCTCAAAAATACTTTTTATATAATATACCTTATTTTATTTATTTTTTGTACATAATTAATAAATATTGCA